GTAAGTGAAGTAACAGAACTGAAATTTTTATTGTAATCGTTTGAAGAAAACGTATCTAATTTTTTACTCTCAAATGGATATCCTTATTTCAAATGGTCGACTTACGACGTCAGGTGAACTCGCAGCATAATCATTGTCCTCTCAGGAACGTCATAATGCATCAGTAGCGGATCAGCGTGCACGCGCGTATACATCCTCGCACGTTCCCCCTTTCCCCCCTAGACAAACGAATGTAGTCGATAAGGCCCATGCTTAGTCACAGGTGTTCAATCTACAAATAATCTCGTCAAACTCGGTCATGTGTCCTGCGTGTCATTAAATAATGTCATTTTAGAAATTGTTTGGGTCAACATTAATATACATAATGTTGTTAATTTTACGAAAAAAAAAAAAAGAACATACGAAGCGGGAAACATCGCTATCGGAGCAACGCGCGCGAAAAGTCGACGTGTGGGTTCACTTTTCGTCTCCCTCGGAATTGCGTGAAACAAAGGTACTTGTAAAACACGTTTTAAGTTTTATTTACCACTTAATGCCAGCCACTTTTTAAGTAATTCTATGTAAGATAACACCGCTTATTTCTTTCTTTTTTTTTTTTTTGCGTCAGATTGACGCCACGATAATTCCATTTTGCGTTAGAACATGATTTGTTGCGTCAATGACGCAAGAACTGGGCCTCGTTTGAACACAGGCAGTGACACTGTCCTCTGGTTAAGGTTACCGTGCACCTTCAGGGGTGTCTCGCGTGCAAGCGATGTAGCGCGTCCGGTTTAAACTGTAGATATCTAAACCCCTATATCAAATTAAAGCTTACAGGACTGGCTATCAGACTACAGCAAAGATTTTGAAAAAAAATTAATTGTCGAATTTTTCAGGACTTCTAGATGCGAGCGCCCGAATCACCTTTTGAACGTTACCTGTCAAAGCGAATGTTCTTTTTCGCTTATTTAATGTGTTCCTCCGTTTCTGGGGCCAAAGCACTAAAAAGAGTGTCTGCGATTTGCCATATTCAATTTCAGTGAAAAGTTACAGAACATTTTTGAAATAGGATTAAAAAAATGTGGAGTGATCGCACAAAAATCGCTCTTGAAAACAAAGTATTTAGAAATAAAAAATTCGGAGACACCTTTTTGTTGTTTATATGTAAAACTAGCTACTTTCAAAATTTGAGAGCAATCGAACAAATTCCCTTTGAGTTGTAGCTCTTAAAAGGTGATTTGGGTGCTCGCATTTAGAAAAATTCGTGAAAAATTCGACAATTAATTTTTTTTCAAAATTTTGGTATAGTCTGATAGCCAGACCTATAAGCTTTAATTTGATATGGGGTTTAGATATCTACAGTTTAAACCGGACACGCTACATCGCTTGCACGCGAGACACCGCTGAGGATGTACGGTAACCTTGAGGCCGATTATTTTTTCTGAGAATTTTTTCGCTGGTAATCACGAAAGGAATTATGGTCACGAATATTCTCATTTTCAAACAACAAACACAGTACGCGACACATTCTTTTTTGGGGGGGGCAGACTTCAGAATTATGTTTTTTGTGTTTTGTTGCACAGCGACTAGCATTATTGAAAATATAACTGGACGTTGTAGTGTGAATGTTTTAAGGCATGAGGCCATCGTTCTTTTTTGTCTAAATGCTCAAGATTAATAGCCGTNGCTGGCAGCTGGCTGGGTGAAGGAAAATACATGGTTATCCTTCCGGCTCAGGACTCGCGCGCGCACATCAAGAATCGAGAAACAAGTGACACGAACGGGCCGAGTTTTATCTGATCTATGAGCACAAACCTTGTAATCGTCGACTTATACCGCCACGCGCTCTGCTTCTTGTTAGTTACGATGGGGAACAACACCAAGATAACACCAGCTGCACAAACTCAATTCACGTCAAACATGAAGGTGCCCTTAATATTTTGGTGTTAAGAAGTCTATGGGGCCAACTGTCAGTGTTTTCTCTTTCTTTGTAGTTGCGCCTGATTTGAAGCAACCGCCGCCTCCAAGGGTCGTTAAACCAGTGGGACAAGATGAGGTGAAGCTGATGTGTAACGTCAGAGACCAAGTCAATTACACTTGGTACAAGAATGGTAGAAAGATTCATCAGCCTGATGATAGATATTTTGTGAAAACTCCGAGGTATTTGCGAATAACGGACGTTGTTAAATCAGACAGCGGATTGTTTGTTTGCGTTACTTCCAACAAATATGGAACAACAAATTGCACAACAAGGCTGATTATTGAAGGTAAGAGTTTTTTCTGGAGATAGAAAATTTGGTAACTTTTCCTTGTAAACAAAAGTTGCTGCTTTTCAAATGTAAATTACATTTTTATCATACTAATTAGATATTTTCTATCACTAAGTACACATCTATAAAATGGTCTATTTTGTTGAGTATTTAAAAAGTTGTTTTTCTATTTGCTCAGATCCAACGGTTTCACCAACAAATGTCTCAGGAGGTACAGTGCATTGAAATATTATTGTACTTAACAGCTCATGATTATCTTGTATATGTGATCAACCCTATTTTTAGCTCGTCCTAGGCGTCCAGTCATTAAAACTAAGTGAAATAGTCAACAGAGCGATGTTAGCAGCGGAGTGGAAAAGCGCGAGAGGTCTGGGTCGGGTCACACTCCTTTGCTTCTCTCGCGCCGTTTTCTATTGCTCTTATGCTCATAGAACGCCTGCAACAAGCTACGCTGTTATGAAATTAGAGAAATTTAGCACCGCGTTTACGTGAGACGTGTTTTTTCCGCTGTTTTTTCACATTTGCCGGTTGCGCTTTGCCATTTCTACGTGAAAATAACCTGTTTCGCATTTGCCGTGTAAGTAAGATTTTCTTCACTTTTTTTCACACGGAGTAGAAGTCAATTGCCATAAAAAGGGCACCAAAACTATTCCGCGTAAATCACACAAGGGCGCCTCCAAATCCACAGTGACGTGAGGTCACGCGAAGCGAAAGCAGCAGGGTTCACGCCATTTTACGTGAAACGCGACAGGGAAGCTGACGTTTGCTGTTTCTCGTAAACGCGGCACTAAATCTCTCTATTCCTCCCTAATTTATCACACCATCCATCAGACACGCCTTGAGAAAATGAAGATGCAAATTTCATCCTCTTATTGACGAGGTTGTTTTAGGGCGAATCATACTCGACAAAACATAACGATTGTCCCCATTATGCACCTTGCATACCGCTTACCGCATAACATGACCGGAGGAGGGTTGTGTCACGATAACATTTACCGGATCTCTCCAGAAGGCTCTGTAATCATTGTTCTTATGATCCTCCTTCATTGGTAGTCAATTTTCTAAACTCCTTCCTTTATAGTCCATTGACAACGACTAACCCCACCCCCCCATACGTTCCTTCTGAAAACGATGTAATCCCCCCAAAATCCTCCGAACCCCACCCCACTTCCTAAGGCGTTAGATAATAGTTGATCCTCCTTCGATTTTGTTTATTTTTCTTTGTCACTTTTGACAGCTGCAAAGCCCCGCTTTATCTATCCAGACGAGATGGCAAAGGCAAAATCCCAATACACGGAGGGAGATAAATTCCGACTAACATGTGAAGCCACAGGAACACCAGTTCCGACGGTAACGTGGTACAAGGGTAAAATAATATTTCGTGGTCATAGATCCGACGAGACGATAACACCAGGGCTTTACGACTTTAAAATATCTTTCAACGGAGTTGATCCCAAAGACAGAGGAAATTACACGTGCGTTGTGAAAAACTCACATGGCAGTTTGGCTCATTCATACGTGTTTGACGTAAAGGGTAAGTGACAGAACGGCGAGGATTTGTTGTGGGAATCCACTAATTTGGTTTTAAGTTTCCCTTCAATAACGTAAGAATTC